CCCTAGCCCCAGATTTCCTTCTTTTAAGGCTGACTGATAATCCTTATGTACATCACATTTCCCTTTTCATTTTGTTTTCTTTTGTTGACACATGGTAGGCAGCGCTCACTATGTTGCTCAGGCTAGCCTTGAACTCTCAAACCTCCTGCCTAAGCCTCCCTGATGAGATTATTGTGCCACCACACCTGGTTCACATCATATTTTCTTTGTTCCATTCCTCCATGTAGGACCATTTTGGCTGCTTCCACCTCTAGGCTATTGTGAATATGTTACAGTAACACCAGCTGTGCTCAGAGGCTGTTCATTTTAATCAGACTGCCACTCAGCTGGGTTGAAAACAAAAGCAAGACATATACTGAAAAGGAAGAAGTGGACCTGGACATGCGATGCACGCCTGTAATCACAGCACCTGGAGGCGGAGGCAGGAGGATTGCAAATTTGAGGCCAACTTGGACTACACAGTGAGACCCTGTCTCAGAAACAAAATATAACAATAAATAAATAAATGTATGAGGTGGCTCAAGTAGCAAAAAAGAAATTCAGGCATACCTGTAAGTGAAACCCAGCTCTACTGTCTCTAATTCTGGGACTCTGAACCAGCTCCTTCCACCCTGACCTGCTTTCCCCCTCTGTAAGATGAGAATAGCACTAATAAACTGCTCCTTGGGGCTATGCACCGACAAGCACCAAGGCTCTGGCCCACAGGGGGTGCCTTCTGCCCTGACCAAACTGACAGGAGCAAAAGTATGACACTCATGCAAACAGCATGGCCCTGGAGCTGATAAGCTGCAACGCAAGCCACAACGAGGCCTAGTGGGCTCCACAGTGGATGGCCTTTTCCATACCTGCGGCAGGTACTGAGGACCAGGTACCCATGGTCCTTCCACAGCCCATTCACAATTGGTGCCAATGGTTACCACAGGTTTCTCCTAACATCTCCTTTCTTTTGAATACAAGCATTTGGGAAGCTGAGGTAGGAGGACTGCCACAAGTTTGAGGCCAGCCTGGGTTACACAGTGAGTTCAAGGACATTATAGAACATAAACCAAGACCCTATCTCAAAAACAAACAAACTCCACTTTAACATAAATTACATAACCTCAGAAAATCAGTGTAACAGGCAAATAGAAGGTAACTGTGAAAATGAAGATAAACATACACAACAGTGTTACTAAATTCTAGCTAGAGACTGTAGCCTACCTAAGGCCAGGTGCTTGGCCTCTCTTGGGGAGAAGGGAGCTTAACAAATGTGAAGAAACAGGCTGACACGGCTGGGAGGGCTCCATGTGAATCATTTAATGATTAAAGGATCTAAATTAAAGAAACCATCAGCAATGTACCTTTGTCATTACACTAAAAAGTCATCATCAAGATATTCTGTGTAGGAATATTTATAGTATTTAAGTACTAGAGGGGACTCGGGAGTAGCTCAATCAGAGAGTAACTGCCTAGCACCCACAAGGGCCTGGATTTGATTCTAAGCGCTGCAAAAATTAAAAACAAAAATGCCAGTTGCACATTTTCTTTCCTCCTCTACAGTGGCATCCACCTATGATTAACCTGTAAAGGAGATCTTAAAATATATTACAGTTTTCTTAATCTTAAGGTTGTGGGTCTCCTTTTAAAAAATAAAAATAAATAAAGCAAATAGTCCAACAGTAACACAGGAAATAGGTAAAAACTGCACACATACAAAATAAAATATATTTAAGAATATACTTGTATCTGGGCAAATGTTAATAGTCGTTATTTCTAGGTGGTAAGATTTAAGGTGAATCTTACTTGCTTTAATCGTTTCAGGATTTTCCTCAATGGAAATAGTTGTTTTTATTACTACAGGAAAATTCTATTTTAAAAAAGGCTGACAACTGAAGAAGTAAAGAAAGGAAAATATATAGAACACTTTTCTTATGCTAGAGTCTAACTCTTTATTGCAGGTCTTGCAAAACTAGTAACTATTTCCACTAAGGTCTACCTTCTTGTGGTTAAGTAACTTGAGCTGACATTTTATCTTACTGGGTAGAATCTTTTATGATCTACTAGCTAGATTTTTTTGCTTAGGTTCTTGAAATGTGTTATAAAGTAATGATTACTACAATCCAGGGAGGTGCTGGAGATCAGGCCATGAGCTTTTAGTTTCTGTTTAATTTCTACCATCCACCAAGGCCCAAGCAAACCCTGCAAACACTGTTGAAAGTAATATGAAGGACCCAAGATGGGTAACTGTGTTAATGCCAAATCCTAATAATCTCTGGCGGTCTCTATTTCACTTGGACCCATTTCTATTTCCACACTATGTTCAAGTATGAGAAAATGCAAGAGCTGCAAATGTCTTGCCGAAACTTTAAAAATAAAACCATACCCACCCTCATTACCACTGGTTCACTTTCTAATGCAAATTATGATTTAAATAAAGCAGTGTACTAAAGACAGATCTGCCGGCTAGTGAAGAGCTCAATGTCCACAATCAGTGTGACAAAGTGAGGACACACAATGTGTCACCAAGATTAACTGAACCTTAAACACGAACATCTCAAGCTGCAGCGCAGATGTGTGATGCTGATAAGATGAGCTGATTGTAATGCTCTTTGACTGCCAAGAAACAGCCCTAAGAGCTCCACCCAGAAGATCTGGGAGTAAGTCCAGCATGAAGTTACCAAGGAAGAAGATGTCACTGGACTCACAGCTCAGTCTTACGGGCAGGGCTGGAAGGGTCTTGGAAAGAGCTTCCTCAAGCTGAGTATGTGTGTAACAGACACTGAGGTCCAGAGAGGTAAGCTACCTGCCCCAAGTCACACAGCAAGTGCCATGACTATTACTAGACTCCTCATCCCAGGTCCCATTGCCTTTTCAAGCCAGAATTTCCTGTGATGGTATAGGCTTTGGTTGAGCTCTAGTGCTCTGGGGAAATAGGAGATACTAAAAGGAAGATAATGAGCCTATAGGGCAAAGAGAAAATTCAGGCACAGTGAGACTGAATCTTTTACAATTAGTCAGCAGGCATTCTAGGACTTTAGCCACCTTCTTCTCACCAGGTGTAGATATAATCACTAGAATCAAGAAACAGTGGGCTAAGTGACTCAAAACAAAAGCCCGTGGTTCCTATGTGCTTCAGCTACTTGGGGCCTGGAGTTAGACCACTATGAAGTGAGAGGAAGTACATCTTACCAAGTTGGATACCTCTTGGTGGTCTCGTTATTCAACCATTGCCACCTATCTCTACGCTAAAATAGCTCAAGGGTTTTCCCCTTGATTTTCTCAGATATTCTTTGAAGTCACTTTTTTATCAGCATTTTAAATTAGTTACCTGTAAACACACCTATAATCCCAGCACCCAGGACAAGCAAGAGGACACTACAAGTTCCAGGCCAGCCTGGGCTACACAGTGAGTTCAAGGCCAGCCTGAATGACATAGTAAGACCCAGTCTCAAAAAAATCAAAAGCCAAAACCAAAGCTACAAGACCAGGAATATGGTCACTGCCCACCTGAAAAACAGATGGAAACTGGGAGGGCAGCTCATTTAATATACAGGATGCTCTAGGTCCCATCCCTAGCACCACATATGCGCGCTCTCTCTCTCTCTCTCTCTCGCTCTCGCTCTCGCTCTCGCTCTCTCTCTCTCTCTCTCTCTACCTATCCATCTATCTATGAAGAAGTGAGTGGTGGAAAAAAGCACAACATCCATGGGAGTTGGCATCCATGGGAGAGCTGCCTGACGTAGGTTCTCTAACTTGCTCTTCTGCAAAGTGGGAGGAACAGTACTTATGATAAACAGTTGCTAGAAAGACTAAATGAGACCCACATACACTGTGCTTGTGACATTGCTTGCTCAGGAAATGTTAACTACTACCTGTATTGTCATGATCACTAGGAAGTCCTAGTTTTGGTCCTGTTCACCTAGTTGAATGCATCTCAAACTTCACTCTGAGGTAAAGCAGCTGAAGATCTTATTAAAATGCTGATTCTGGTTTTCTAGATCCAGATCTGGATTCTGTGCTATCAACAAGCTCCCAGAGGCATGGGTACCTCTGTAACACAGAATGCACTTTGAGCCACAAGGATCTGCCTAACCCAGACCTAGTGGGGGCTTAATGTTACTGACAAACAGGAATGACTTCTCTACATCTCATTAATGACTGAAAATTAGAAAATGACACTGCACAGAAAAGAATATGCTAAGCTGCAAAAAAAATCTATAAAAGCAGTAATGCAAGATTACCAGTTTCATTATTCACAATGCTGAATTCACAATACTGCACTACTAAAAATACTAGTACAATAGTTGGAATATCTGAAAATGACATTTGAATGCCTTGCTCAGAAGAAACACTCCATTCAAAGATCCTCTAGGAATTCTGGCAGAACAGAAAAGCTCAAGGGATTCCCAGTCAAAAGCTCTGAAACTTTAGAACCGCCTTTTGATGGCCAGCACAGAACACTTTGGCAGAGTGAGCATGGCCATCTCTGCTATACACACTGGGAGCGAGCTTTGCTAATGACTTACTCCCTTTCCCCAAGCTGAACAGCCTCCTGCCAGCCTCCCTCAGCTAAGGACAGCAGTGCCAACAGCATGAGAGAGATGGACATTGCTCTGGAAAGCGAACATCACACCCACCACTCCATGCTGGCAAACACACCTGCAGGGAGAAAGGTAAGACTTCTGGCTGTCCGTGGTGGGAGCTCTCCTAAGTCCTATCTGTCCATCTTTTTCAGCAGAAGCAGGATTTCCTCCCCCACGGACTCTGTGGCACGGTACTTGTGCCCTGCACCTCTCCTCTGAGTACAGAGGCACTCTTAGCTAAATTCTCCTCGCAGGGCATCTCATTCATAAGTTCTTTTATCATTTGAGGCAGATGGCACTTCTAACATCAAACTGCTCAGGCCCAAAACCCAGGAATCACCCTAATTACTCTCACCATCCCCAACCTGATGGTTCTAACTCCAAAACACATCCCCATCCATCCTCTGTTACCATCCTAGAAGGCCCCCATCATCTCACCTTGACTTCCAACTGATCTCCTGGTTACCTCTCGTATGTCCTCTAAAAGTCATTGGCCTGCTGGGTATGGTGGCACAGACCTATAACCCTAGCCCTTGGGAGGCTGAGGCAAGAGGATCACCATGAGTTCAAGGTTAGCCTGGGCCACATAGTGAGTTTGATGCCATCCTGGACTACGTGACAAGACCTGTCTCAAAAAACCAAAAAATAAATAAAATACATAAGTAAAATCAAATTCACTGACTACAAAAAAGACAGATTTCTTCCCCCCAGAGCTGGGCCTCTGTACAGGCTAGGGAAGCACTGGAACACTAAGCACACCTCCAGGCTTAGAGTAAGTTTTTTTATTAGTACATTAGTACAGTAGTATCTAGTGCTTACGTTCATTGCAGAGAACATCTCTCAATTTTATTCCCCTACCCCTTTTTTCTTGGTCACCTTCCATCAGCACAAGATTGATCCCTCTTTCCTATTGTCTTTTCTTTTTCTCTTTATTTATACTTTGTGTTTTTCACATAAGAGAAGTTAGCAATGTACTATATAAGATACGTATTTTAATTTATTTCACTCAAAACTGTGATCTCAAGGGATATCTATTTTCCTACAAGTGGCTCACTCTACAACAGAGTAGGGCCCCGTTGTGAATAAATATCACATTTTCTTTATTCACTCATCTGTTGATGTACCTACAGACTGCTTCTGAGGTTTAGCTAGCGTGAGTTGTGCTGCTATACACATGGGTACGCACGTTTCCCTGTAATATGATCGCTTTAACTCTTCTAGGAAGATACCTAGAAGGGTAACAGCTGAGTTAAAGGAAATACCAAGTTTTAGTTTTCTGACGAATCTCCACCTAGTGATGAAAACAATAACAACAACAAAAAATTAGGTCATGTCACTCCCCTTCTCAAAACCCTTCAGTGGTTCCTTATCGTTCTTAGAATAAAAGCCCAAGTCCTCACTCCAGCCGACAAGACCCCCTATGATCAAAGATTCCCACTGGCATGACTCACCTCCCATCACTCAATCCTCCTGTGAGTCCTGGAATTTACCAGGCTTGCTCCTACCTCAAGCCCTTAGTCCTGCTGTTCCTTCTGGCACATCTTCAAATAGCTGGCCCCTTCCTGGGAGCAAATCACTGCTTTAAAGAGGCTTCCTCTGACCTTCCCAGTAAAGTAGCAGTGCCCACAATGCCCTGAACAATATGCCATCATGCTCTATTGCTTTCACAGCATTTATTCCTACTCAAAACTCATCTGTTGGTTTATCTTTCTGCTTGCTGCCACTTGAATATAAGCTGCATGAGAGCAAGGACCTCATCTGCCTTTGTTCACTCACATACCCAGGCTGCAACAGGGGTGACAAACGCCGGGTGCTTAGCAACTGCTAAGCAAGTAAAGCCAGCCAAGGATAGCACTGAACTTAGCATCAACAGACCTGACTCCACTGTTAAATGGGCCACTTCTTAGCAGCATGACTTTCCTTACTCAGGTTCCCTAGTTGTATAATAGAGATCTCCATCTGCACCTTACCCTTCTACAAGAGCTACTGATAAGATCCAATAAGTAAAGGTGCATTTAAGCATTTTTGTAAACTATTAGGTACATTGAGACGGCTCTATATGCTTCCTTAGGGACCTAAACAGTGGATGAAAAGACATCAGGAGAAACCTGATGTTTCTAACCCAGGAGAAGTCCTGAAATACAGAGAGGGAAAACAGCTCAGTGCTTAATGGTAGAGCACTGCAAAACATGGAAATAAAAAGTCTTGATAGCTGGGGATATAACTCAATGGTATAAACACCTGCCTGGCAAGCGCAATGTTGTGAGTTTGATTCCCAGTACCAAAAAAAAAAAAAAAAGGTCTTGGGACACAAGAGATTTGAATCAGTGGCTTTATTCTGCAACCAGAACACACACACATGCAAAGTCACTTAGAGCAGTCAAGTCAATTGATCATGGTGTTGCACCCCTGCAATCCCAGCTACTGGGGAGGCTAAGTCTGGAGGATCAAGAGTCAAAGGCAGGGGCTGGGGATTTAGCTCAGCGGCATAAGCACCTGCCTTGCAAGCAGGCAGTCGTGAGTTCAATCCCTGGTACCGATAAAAAGGAAAAAGACAAAAAAAATTAAAAAAAAAAAAAAAAAAAGAGTCAAAGGCCACCCTGGAAAACTCAGTGAGACCCTGTTTCAAAATACGTAATAAAAAGAGCTAGGAATATAGCTCAGTGGTAGAGTGCTGGCCTAGCATGCACAAAGCCCTAGTTGAATTTTTTAAAAAGTCAAATTATGGGGCTGGGTATTTAGCTCAGTGGCATAAGCGCCTGCGAGGTCATGAGTTCGATCCCCAGCACCAAAAAAAAAAGTCATATCATGTTAAAATAACCACTGGATTCCTTGAAGGTTATGAGACATCCTCTATGTCCCCGCCTGGAGAGATTTAGATTTAGTAAACACCTACTGAACTCGATGTTTAACTACCAAGCTTGGCACTCTACCATCAGTTTTCACTTTTCCTTGCAACCCATCTTGGCATGAGAGTGCCAGTTCCTGGAGCAACCTTGTAACATGACCAGCATTTTCATAATACTATGATTAACTACTGTTTTGAGCTTGCAATGACCTTGTGAGACTGACAAACCCAGCATCACTACTGCATACTTTAATTTATTCATTCACCAATCATCAGTAGAACATACAGTGCCTCACACTTGCCAGGCAGGCACTGTGCCACTGAGCTTCATCCCCAGCCCCTAACACCTTCTAATCTCACCTGCTGGGCTTGGTGGCACACTCCTGTAATCCCAGCACTTGGGAGGTTGAGGCAGGCAGATTGTTGCAAGTTCAAGACCAGCCTGGGCTACAAAGTGATCCCAAGGCCAGCCTGAACTGTATAGTAAGACCCTGTGTCCAAAAGAAAAAAATATATAGTGCAGGTGCTACACTAAACCTAAATGCCGGCAGCTAACATTAACCAGCCACGCCAGGCTATTTATATAGATTAAACTCAAGTCAGTCTCCACAGTACCCTACATGGTCGATACCATTATTACCCAACTTGACATGTGAGGCAAAGGCAACACGGCCATGAAGACAACTGCTAAGTGGCACACAGCCTGGAAGTGGCAGGCCAAGACTTTAACCTGGAGGTAGCCGGACTGCAACTTTTGGGGGTTGGGGGGCAGGTTTTGTCTTTTTTTTTTTTTTTTTTTTTTTTTGAGACAGGGTTTTGCTATACAGTTCAAACTCACTCTATAGCCTAGGCTGTCCTCAAACTCAAAGTGATCTTTCTGGCTCAGCCTCCTGAGTGCTGCTGGGATTACAGATGTGCGCCACCATCACCAGCTAACTGCAAGTTTTTGTTTTGTTTTGTTTTGTTTTGTTTTGTTTTGTCTTTTTCCTTTTTTATCAGTACCGGGGATCGAACTCACGACTGCCTGCTTTCAAGGCAGGTGCTTATACCGCTGAGCTAAATCCCCAGCCCAACTGCAACTTTTTTTGGTTCCAGGAATCAAACACAAGGCCTCACATTTGCCAGGCAGGCACTGTGCCACTGAGCTTCATCCCCAGCCCCTAATACCTTCTAATCTCACCTGCACAACAGCATTAAAAGGCCTTCAGCACCACCTACCCTACAACCCATTTTCAAAGGTGGGGGCGAAGGGACAGGGAACCCCCCCACACCTTAAATACTACAACTCTTTTTTGAGAGCCACAGGTTGGATGGGTATCTATATGTATCTACACGTATATCATCTTTTTTTTTTTTTTTTGCGGTACCAGGGGTCAAACTCATGACCTCGCACTTGCCAGGCAGGCGCATATGCCACTGAGCTAAATCCCCAGCCCCTTATATGTATATCTATCTATCTATCTATCCATCTATCTATATATTTTTTTTGGATGGTATCTATTTAAATGGAGCTTTACAAGAGATCTCATTTCTATGCTATTGGAAGAAAAGCTTCTAGCCAAAGCAGTTGGGAGTAACAAAATACAATTGTGGTCTCATAACAGATATGAGAGACATCAGAAATGGGGGCTAAGTGACAGGATTTACTCAGAAACACATCCAGTTCCATCATCTAATAGGTACAAGATTCCCAAGTAAAGCTGGGTGTGGTAGCATACACCTGTAATCCCAGCACCCAGGAGGCTGAGGCAAGAGGATCACTGTGAGTATGAGGCCAACCTTGGCTACACAGTGAGTTCAAGGCCAGCCTGAACTACCTAGAGAGACTCTGTCTCAAAAAAAAAAAAAAAAAAAAAAAAGACTCTCAGGCAGTTTCAATCCTGTGTATGCCTGTTACTAAGGATTGAATCCAAGGATACTCTTACACTAAGCTACATTTGTAGCCCCACACCCTTTTTTTAAATGACAGCATTCCCTATGTAGGATTTAACTTGTCATCCTCTTGCCTCAGCCTCTCTTGGTGCTAGGATTGCAGGTGTGTATACCAGGGGGCCTTGCTTATTTTTGTCTTTTTTTTGTTTTTAATCCATGCCAGGGATCGAACTCACGACTGCCTGCTTGCAAGGCAGGTGCTTATGCCACTGAGCTAAATCCCCAGCCCCCTATTTTTGTCTTTAAGACGGAGTCTTGCTATGTAGTTCAAAATGGCCTTGAATTCACCATCCTCCTGGAGCATCCTCCTGAGTGCTGGAATTACAGGAGTGAGTCACCACACCCAGCTAGTCCATTCACTTTCCTGAAGCTAAATTTCTTCATCTAAAAAATGGAGATGACATCACCAGCTAATTGACAAAGTCTATATAAAGATTAAATGAGATAATATACAAAAATGTGCTCCCCCCCATTACTACCCCTTCTGGGCCTCATGCTTAGTAAACATTCTATCACTGAATGAGACTTTCAGGCCTGAAATACATTTATTATATACTTGTAAGTAGTTACTACTGTTTTAAGCACTTCTCAAAAGACATAAGGAGGCTGGGCTTGGTGGCTTATGCCTGTAATCCCAGCACTTGGGAGGCTGAGGCAGGGAAAAAAAAAAAGACATAAGGATACTCTTCTTCTGGAATGATCAACAAGGCACAAGTAAAAAATAAGACCAGCCAGCCAGAAGGACACGGTCTCAGGGTTCTCCTAGCAGGGGTATTTTCAGAAGCCACCTTCTTTCTCTGAGCAACAGACAGCAGGAGCTAGGGACAAAAGACTGTCAACCATCAGAAATACCCATATG